TTTAAACTTTTCCCGAACAGTTCGGAGGAACCGAGGACGAATAGCTCTGGATCATCTACTAGGTCCAAGAAATCTGGCGAAACTTTGGCCAACAGGTCCCTTCATCGATCTACTAAAGCACCAACCTCGTTCCCAGGGCTTCAGTGTGAGGACGAGGCGAGACACGAGGAACCCTGGTTCGGGCCGGTCACGTGACAACAAAAAAATGGCAGTATTTGACAGCTACTCGTCAAGGAGTGGCGAGATATTATTTAATGAATCAAATAAAATATACAAGTCTTCGAAACAAATAAATAGCCAAAAGACTTCTCAATCGATATTATTTATGTGTAGAGCGAAGTTTGGCACGAATCAGCTGAAATCTATGAAGATCCCGTCTATGTTTTCTAAGGTATACCGATATTTCTGGAGATTTTCAACTACAGGCAAAGCTGCATCCAAGCTGCATCTAGGCGTCTCCATGCAAGTGGTGATTCACACGAAATTTCCTTTCTCTCGTCTTCAACAATATGGCTAATGCTATAATTAATATTTAGTTTAAATATGCTCTTATAGATCTGACTTAGTTGAATATAAATAAACACAAATATAAAACCTCGCGTAACCTGTTTACGCTGTACAGGAATATACGGATTCGCTTGTTTCGCCGGACACCAACACTTGCTGTTCAGGAGCAATGCTTGCCTACAAATTTTATCCCCTTCACAATCTTTGTTTTATTTTATCGTATAGTCGCAATTTTCAAGTATTCGGGGTATTCTGAAACTGTAAAACTGGGTGACGTGCGAATCTTGTAGAGACTACATCGGCCTAGGCGTAGAGCTATTAAGTAAACAGGGCCTAAATTAATTTAGGAGTTTCATTTAATTGCTTGTGTTGCTTTTATTTGTCAGTACAGAATATTGTAAATTAAAATATTACTACAATGCAATACGCGTAGTATTTCATCAGACATCTGCACTAATAAATACTGTAGAAGGAAAACTACAGCTTCAATAATAGTAGACGTTTCTTGTTTTGTCAGGAAACATCACAGCTCACTTCGACACGGCTTTTGAGTTTTGTAACCGTCCGAGACGAAAGTAAATCCTGCAGTCGGGAAAACGTCTTACTTTGGAAGATTATTTTGCAAAACATACTCGTACACACAAGAATCATAAAAATACAAATGTTGAATTGTTATTGTCAACTGTCAAGTTCAGTTATTTTTAGACAATATGGTGTTAGCCAATCAGAATGCAAAATTGACCGGCCCGGATCAGGGCTTCCTCGTGTCTCGCCTCGTCCTCACACTGAAGCCCTGGGAACGAGGTTGCTATTGCACAATGCGATGCGTTGCCAGTCAAGGACATTGCCCGGCGACAATCTTCGATTACGAGAGCAGGATCTATGCCTGTGGCCTACTCCTCTGCTAAAATGGCCAGAGCCTGGGAAAGAGGGCCAATTGGATCAAGCATTCGGCCAGCCATGTTCAACTGGCAGTGTTGATTTAGTAGTACTCGTGTATATTAATTCAGGGAGCAAAGTATAATTTGTGGACAGATTTAAACTGACTATTCAGAACGAACATTGAACGGTTTGAACTCAATTTTATCTGTAAATTTAATTTTTAATGTATTTACTTATAATCATGTAATTCAGTAGAGACTGCAATGTGATTAATTAAACAGATTATGATTATTATTATTATTATTATTATTATTATTATTATTATTATTAAAGTTTGCGCCTTTTCGCTTCAAACATTTTTCGACGAAAATATCAACCTTTTTTGGGTGCAAGTCCGGGTGGAAAGGCACTGGGGTTTCTCCCCCCCCCCCCTTCATAGCTTTCCTGGCAGTTTTTGATAAACCCTGGAACCCAACTGCCGCTGTAAACTGAATGATCGGCTCAGCAAGCAACGTATCCGAGTTGTTAGGCTCCAGCATGCTCGACTCTTCGTCCACCGAAGGGCTTGGATCACTGCGTGAAGCAGATCTCGAAGACGAGCTGCTCGAAGAATCGTATGTTCGTGATTTATTGCGGCGTTTTTTCGAGGCCTTTGATTCTTTCGAGGCCTGAGGGGAGACCTTCGCGTTTCCTCTTTCTGCTCTGAACTGCTGTTCAGTTGTCAGAAGTATTTTTCCTCGGCGCCTCTGACGCCGGATTATTTCCCCGTGATACCCGCGGAGTTCGACTTATCGTGTCTAACAATTCCCCGTCCTCAATGGGTGCCTGGTCTTCGTCCACAGAAGCCATGAAAATATAAATAAATAGAATATGAATATATAGAATATGAGGTAATAATATATATTCTATATATTTTTTGTTGTTTGCACGTTGGCCTGGTCATTAACATCACAGGTACCATTGTTACCCATTCAAGCATTGCGCGGTAGGTAATTTTGTTTTTGCCTTGTCACCTGTATTAACATTTATTGCTTGATTGATTTCTTTGTTTGGTGGTAAAAAGTTGTTGTTAAATGTGGCCT